TGCAAATGTACATCCATTCACCATCTTTTTGGTGTGGGAACAATTGCACAAGACACACAGATTTCCATTAAACAGCTTTTAAATATGATCATGAGAGCCAGCCTTTCAAAGAAAACAATTTTCACTAATAGCCAAATATGAATTCTTTGCTCCATCATCTGCCATGAGCCTTCTAAGGCCTGGTCATTATGATGCCAATACCTTTAGTAAGTCAAAGTTCAGATACCTACCCAATTCTCTGATTTTTATCTGACAAATATCTTAATGACCAAATGTTTAACTATATTGACTAGAAATACTAGCATAAGAATAGTAACCTTAGAAAAATCAAATTCAAATGTTATGTATACAAGAGAACACCTTTCTTGGGTAAACTCACCTACATACGAAATCATTTTGCTCTTCATGCTCTTTATACTTTTTTTCCCAATTCAAAATGATTCTCTCTCCTTGGAGAAGGTAAGCAAATGTACGGCTTTCTAGTAAAAGATCGTTGAAGTTTAATAGTATCATAAGACTACAGTTGCTAATTTAGCAAATAGATTAAAAATTACCTTTTGGTTTCCATATTGGCTTAATTAACTCTTACCTACAAAACTCAGAATCCACCTTCTGGTCAATCATTTGCAATCTCTTGATATTCATACTACTTAAGTTACATTCAGCTAGTCAACAAGTATTTATTGCTCTGCCAAATTGGCAAAAAAAAAGCAGAGCAATAATAATAATAAGTTCCTTTTAGGGTTACATTGTCTAGAAATGGAACGGGAAAAAGAATCATTACCTGTATAAAAACAAAAACACAGACTATTAAGAAAATGTTACTTAAAAGTGCTGGTAAATATCCTCTTTCCCCTCACCATAGAAATATCAAAAGAATGCCTTCAAGATTTATTTATTAAGTTAAAGTGATTAAGATGCACACAACTTTATAATTATTATTTGATGCCCGAAGGTTTTTGTTTTAACTTGTTGCTAAGTTAATTGAATTGTAAGCTAATAAGTGCCTATTGTAGTTTCCTGCATCTTTCAGTCGGAGTGGTAATTAAATGAATTTATATGAGTTAACTGTGTTTAAAACTATAAAATTCAGATAATATCAAATTTTTAAAGTCAAATTATCTCTTAAACTAGTATTATGACTGTACTACATTTCTAAATCTCATTTCCTAAAAACACACACACATTTCCCCCTTTGAAAAATAACCCATTAAAAAAATTTTTTAAATAATAATAATAATAAAGGGAGAAATGTGGGATCCACATATAAATCAAGTATAAAAATCAAACGAATATTCATATCTGACCTGATTGTTTATAGTTCATAATGCATGATCAAAACCGAAAGTTTCTGTGATGACTGCCCTTGTACTGTCCACCATGTAAGAACTTATTCACTATGTAAGAATTTGTTCACCATGTAAGAACTTGTTCGTTATGCTTCAGAAGATTGGCGACTGATGAGAATTAGGCTTGAGATGGATTAATAATTGTGCATTGAGCATTGACTCCCCTATACAGAATTTTATTGTTGTTAACAACCATTTGATCAATAAATATAAGAGATGCCCTCTCAAAACAAAAAATATATATATAAGCTGTTTGTGAGCATCACTATGATTTGAAAATAAGTCAAATGTTAGCTTCTCTAGGACTTATTGTGTAGCTTTGCATGTTTGTGCATTTTACATACATAAGTACACACATTTTACAAATGTGATTGTATGAGAGAGAACATTAAAATATAATCATGTGTCAAAAAAAAAATAACCACCACGGGGGATTTTTAGGGCAATGAAACCGTTCTGTAGGATACTGTAATGGTGGACACATCAATATACATTGTCAAAACCCACACAATGTACAATATTAAGAGAGAACCCTAATGTAAGCTACAGACTTCAGCTGCTAACAACCTAGCAGTATTGGCTTATCAGCTATAATAAATGTACCAAACCAATGTAAGATGTTAATAATAAGGATGACGGAAGAGTGGCAGGAGACAGGCAGGGGCAGAGTGAACTCTGTGCTTTCCACTCAGTCTTCTGTAAACCTAAAACTACTCAAGAAAAATAAAGTACTAAAAAGAAAGAGGAAGAGATAATTCAAACACGATCATCTTCCCTTTATATTGACTAAACTCAATCATCAAATTAGCAAAGCACCCCTATTGTTATCTGCTACTAACTTGTATAGTTTCAGAAATGATGCCACCATCGATAGGTTTTGATGCAATAAACCCTGTCAAGCACAAACACCAACATCCGTATTTCTCATTCCCTCTTTTAGTGTATGCACCTGTACCTCTGTTCCTGTTTGAGGCTTGAAAATGACAGTGAACACAGGTCAAAGAATGTATACATTTGTTCATTCAAATTATAAACCCAACAGTTCATAACTATCAATCATAGAGAGATCAGACACACGGTATAAACTAGAGCACTGACCTGGAAGCCATTATCATTATAGTGGGAATATACAGCCATGGGAATGAGAAGCTTGGTTTTAGAGGTATTTTTAAAACTAAGAAGCTTTTAAAACAGAGGGTAAAGAATGACGCTCAGCCATTAACATCGATACAGTTTCTCCTAGGCATTAGGGGGAAATATTGCAACTGAGATATTAGTGTTGGGTATTATTTTGGCATCATCAAGCCCATGTTTTTTACTAGGGTTCCATTTAGAGCTGTCTGATGGCCTCAACCTAATGCCCAGCTACTTGTGCCCAGACCACAAAAGTTATAAATACTTTAGCCAGAACTTGCCATGAAGAGCTAAGACTCCACAAGAGAAACCAGGGTTGCCAAGAATGCTTGGAACGAAGTATCAGTCCATCAACCTATCTATGGTATTCTTATTATACCTCTAACACAGAAACAATTTGCACACTAAGAAGCATTTTAGAAGTATTGATACATTGGTGTCATAAGTGTATCAGTAATTCATCCTTCAATAGAACATAGACCTCAGAAAATGTTTCACAAAAATAAAATTATGTTTCCACTAGGAAATCTGTTCAAAATGGGAATGAAATTGTAATATCTATTGTAACAAGGAAGGAAACAAAAGATTCAGGGAGAAAAATCATAAATTCAAGTTATCCATGGCAAAAGTGAAATTTAGCTACCTTCCAGTCTTACAGTCTCTCAACTATCACTCTTATTTCTCAAACACCAGAACTAAGCAGAATTTAAAAAGTGGCTCCTAACAAACAAAAACCAAAGCACCTCAGTTGTCCAGATTATCTGTTTCTCACTGAGTTTGCTGTTTGTCTTCAGGTATTCCCCTGAACTATGACCTGCATTTAAAATTTTTCTTTAAATATTTTCAGCTACCTCTTCTCTTACTTTCTTTGTATTCCCTTTCTAATCGCCAAATTAATTTCAACTCTACTCATATTCAGCTTTAATTTTGAAAAGGTACTCTACTTCAAAGTTGAAGAAAAAAGAAGCACTGTTCTGAGGAAATTCCCTTTCTTGAGTGGCATAAATTAAACTTTTCAAAAATGAATATGGAAGTGATTCCAAGTATTGGCAGAACTGTTCTTCACTCTTCAGATTCAAAAAACTGTACTCTGAGCACAGATCAGATCCCTGCTTGGGTTCACTTAAGGCTTCCCAAACTGACAATAAGCAGGCCTCAAAACCTTGACTTGCCACTGACAGACTCAGCCTAGCCTCCCCTCGGTTGGGTCCCTAGGACTGATTCAGGAGCATCATGAAAAAAATATTTAAATGATGCAACAATTCAAGAAGCTAAATTCAAATTATGAGGAAATAATATGAATGGAAATAAAGAGATATTCAAAAAGTAGAAATGCTTTTGTAGGATCCCTCTGCAGCAGCAGCTCTCACAGATTTTCTGTGCCTCAGGGTGAGTAGGATTATTTGTTAGAACCCCACTGGCAACCATTCCCAGAAATGGGCCTGCTGGAGGCCCAGGAAAACTACATTAGTAACAAGCACCTTCTTACTACCATGCAAGGTATGACCACGACCTTTGTGTTACATCTACCTTTGTCTGATCCCTTAGCCTCACCTCTACCTCTGTATCACCTGGATTACTATCTCTGGATACCAGCCTGCCTCCCCATTGATACAGAAAAAGAAATGAAAACAATCTTTGCTGCCATCAGTAGCTATGTACAGAAGGATTTTTGTTTTCCCTTTCATGGCATGTTGTCACTCTTCCCACCATAAGGTAAAATGCTGAAGGGTGTTAAGGTCATACTTTCTCATCACAAGTACTTTTTTCTCCTACCTAGAAGTAATATAAATCATTCGTGTTTGTTCCTGATTCCTTAACCTTAGTCTTCACTTGCAAATAAAAACATCAAGCTGTCAAATATAGTGGCTGGTCATTACATTTTTTTTGTAAAGGAATGAAGTCATAAGGGAAGACCCTGGCTCTCCTGCTAACCATACCTGTCCTACACTACTGGCATTGTTCCTGGGTTATGAACTAGTGATTGCTTCACCTGAAGAACTCAGCTATCTCAACTCATCACCACTCTTTGCAAGCTGAGATCTGGGCATTGTGTGTAGAATAACCTGGTAGGCAATATGCCTCTTCCATATGTTAACAGTCTATATGACTTCCTATCAAGACTTCCTGGAGTCCATGCCAATACTGTACTACAGTTGGCCATTTTTTCCCCCACATTTTAGAAACTAATCATATTCAGTATATTAAAACTATGTTACTTCTGTTAAAATTACTTTATACTGCATTGCAAGTAGATAACACTACAGTTAGAATTATTTAGCAAGACTATCTTTCAACTCAAGGCTTGTGGGGAAAAAACCCTGTGTGTCCTGAATAGCTTAATTCTAAGCCAGAGCTGAGTACTGAAATAAATTTTGAGTAGAAGTAAACTCCAGCATTTAAAAGATTGAATAGTGTTGCCCATCAAGGCTAACAAGTTTGAGAAAGCCAACAAACCTTGTATTGACCATGGGAAAATGGCAGAAAGCAGAAATTGTCAAAATGTTAGGCTCTTACCAGAAATGGACTCCAGCAAATGCAGGAGACACACATTATAGCCAGGAGCTGGATGACCATTTCGAAATGATGAGACCTGCCTTGTCTGTGCTGCTGACTTTTAAATTTAACTCTTAAAAGTGTAATTCCTGTGATGGCATTGCACAAGAGTGAAACACCAAGGGCTAAGAGCCCCAGGAAAGAAAAAAGTAAAAGATAAAACCTATCTTCCCAGTCTTTGATGTGTTCTGTTTTGTAGAAACACCAGGTCCTCGACGCTTGAATTTTATAGCCTCGATGCCCAAGGATAGGCAACAAAGCTATGAAAACAGCAAACAAGCACACGCTACTCAACATCATTTTCACATGTCTGGATGTAATTTTCGTAGAATGAAATATTGGTTTGGTGACTCCAATACATCGTTCAATGGCCATCACACTGCCTAGAAAAAGTGGGCACAGACCAGAGAATACCATGCAGATACCAAAAATACTGCAAAGGATGTTTGACTGGTCAAAGCGGATCCAGTCTTTATCAGAAGCATATACAAAGACTGCTATAGCTCCATTGATGAGGTGGCCAAAAAAGTCTGTGATAACCAGAGCACTAGCCAAAAGCAGAAACGATGCCTTGGACTTCTGTCTAAATCTCTGATATGCCTTCATGAGTATAGCAATGGCAAGGCTGTTTGATAAGATTCCCACTGTCATGAAGATGATTGAAAAAAATACTGAAAGCCGGTTTTCCGTCTGGCAAGTTGTATTTGAAAGGATCCCAGCTGCAGGAGACACTGGCTGTTTGGAATTGTTCACAGACATTGTTGTGGAGATAAAAGACGGCCACTCAAGTCATCTCTCTCTCAAAACAGTGCAGGTTTGCAGTCCGGACATCTGTAGCATAAAGACAGAGGAAGTATGAGCACTGGATAACTGCTCATCTGACATTTAAGACGGAAGCACCCAGCACCCTGTGGTGGGAATCAGATTTATCTGGCCTATCATAAGCAAGGTTGCATCATACAGAAGGCAACACACATGTGCCTGTGGTTCCACATTTCATTTTTCAGATAAAGAAGCTGCCAAAAATCTAGACCCCGTGGCAAACCTCTGTGACCCCTCTGCAAATGGACACCTCCTCGTTCTCCTCCTCCTGACACTTCACTGAGACCTTAAAACTTTTAAGATTTACAAAATCACTAACAAGATTAGACTTAAGCCCAATAAAGTTTTTAAAGCATGTCTATTTAAATAACTAGATCAACTTGCAGAGTTTCTTTTTTCTCTGATGGGCTTTGTCCCCAAATTGCATATTATTCCTTAGGTGAACTACCTGTTGGTCAAGCAGACAAAACATCCTCCAAACTTTTGGTGGAAGAGTGGCCCGACAAACTCACTGACGTTAAATAGGGCTTCTCTGAATTCGTTCTAAAATTTGATTAGATCAAATAATAGCAAACCATGCCCATCAAGTGATCTGTGGAAAGCATAGTGCTGAGTTTCTAACAAGGTTTTCTGATGCAGCTACCCTACCACCTGTGCAGAAATCCTGGCTCCTGGTGGGAAAGGAGGCAGATCGGGCTGACTATGAGCACATCTGCCTGGATGCAGCTGATGAAGTTACAGCTTCAGGGTAGCAACATCCAATACAAAGCATTTATTTGTCGCTCTTTTCCTAGTGACTTGAGGCCTGAGTCACAGACCCTCCAGATGACCACAGCCGCCCGCCCCGAGCTAATTCGACTGACGTTTCCCGAGCAGCTTTCCGGGAGGCTGGGAATTCCAGAGCCAGCCTTTCGTGGGACCGGGAGAGCGGGGCCGCCCGGGCTGCCCCGAGGACGGCCGCCTCCTCCACTTCTTACTCACAGCTCAACTTTCACCGTTACTAACCCACCGCCCCCTTGCCTCTGCTTACAAAATCCTTCCCAAACCTCCTAACTTGCTGAAACTTTCTGCGATTGCTCAAACACCAGAGAGCCGACTTCCCTCCCACCCACGGGGGCGCCAAAGACTGCGCTGATCGCGGTGCGGGACTGGAAGTGTCGAGGGCAGGGAACCACGGGGCGAGAAGGGGATCTCCTCCCTTTGCCCATTTCCATGCTCTGCATCCCTTCCTACCCGGCCCCATTGAGCGCAGCCCAGAACGGGACGGGTCCGCTCGACGACCCTATTTTCTGCGGGTCTCCCCAGCCTAGGGCGTCTGGTCCAGACTTGCTGCCAAGCGCAGGCTCAGATGCCCTCCGGTGCGGCCCGCTGCAGCTGCCGCCGGGCGTCCAGGGGTGGGAGGCTAAACCGCAGTCGGGCTGCGCTTCCGGAGGCCGACGCGTGAGAACCCAGCCGCGGGAGGGGTGATTACCTTGGCGTCCCCGGCGGCAGACGGCGCTCCCGGCGGAGCAGAGAAGCGCGCCGCTCCCAGGGCCATCGCGCGCCGGCTCCGCTCCTCCGCCCGCAGGGGCCCCGCGCAGCGCCGCACCGCGCTCGCGTCTGGTCCGGGCTCGGCCGCGGCTCGGGCTCCGGCTCGGTCTCGCCGCTCGGAGCCCGCCCGGTGCGCTCGGCCGGTCAGATCCCTCGGCACCTAGCCGCCTCGCAGCCTGGGCGGGATGGAGGGCGCGGGTCACCTCCGCCCCTTCCTCTCCTCTCCGCCCCCTTTTCCATGAGCCCAGAGCCCGACCCGGAGAGACGCGCGCCCCGCGCTCGCTCGGACGCTGCACCGCCCCTCCCTCACCTCAGCATCTGAGCGGCCCTTTGAGCGGCCCGACCACTTAGCAGAAAGTTTTATTTTAAACTCCCTTTCCAGCTAAAGGCGCCATCGCTAATGCTGCAGAAATAGGAAAGCCTACAAGGCAGCTGTCTTGGCGGTGTGCCGACCGTCAGACTTGAGTCTGCCGACTGAATTCGTCCCAAACCCAGCTTGGAAAGGATAAAGAAACCAGGGAGAAAGAAAAGGATGGTGTAGTTGAAGAAGAGCTTCGCGGCCGAAATCCGTAGTAAGTTCAAAACAGGTATTCACAGCACGTGTTGTGAACGAACCTGTAGTCACTACCGCAAAGTTTACTGTCACTTACAAGACTGAACTATGTTTCTAGATTTCTAAGAAATGTGAGCAGGAAAAGGAAAGAGAAGTATTTGAAGGACACCCGCAGATAAAGAGTTAGTAATATTTAATCATCTTTAAAAGCCCAACGGTGACAGAATATCTTAGTGATATGTTTATCCAAAGAGATGTGAATCTAACAAATTTGTGGAGATCATTTTATGATCAAGAAATATCCACTACTTCATTAGGAATTAATGTGAGCGATTTTAATACTGTAACTGCTTTTTGCTAATATCATTTTGGTCCATAGCTTTTAACTGTGTCTCATTTTTCTAGCTAAACACACGAATCCATTACTGATCTTTGCTCTTTTTGTTTTAGTAAAATGTTTCCACAACCCGTGTGAAAAACCAGTGCTACAGGAAATAAACCCTCTTTTCTCAATTCTAAATCAGAAGGGGCCTCTAAATACCTGGAAATTGAAAAGGATCATAAAATGCTACAGTGAGATAAAATAAATTAGCCATTAACTATAAAAGGAACGATTGCACAATTTTCCCCTATGCTATATACTAAGCTTTTTTTGTTTTGTTTTAATGATATAACTTGTAAAATAAACTTTCTCAGGTATGATCAAGGGAATTGAACAATTTGGTTAATCAAATATTCTGGTTAATGGAGAAATATATCTAGATGGCCCGTGTCCAAAGAACAACTATGTAATAAACCACACTGAAAATGTGAATGACGTAGAACACTATTCTTTTCTTTAATGATTAATAGCATTTAATCACATTACATTGCAACTATCCATTTACTTATGTCTCTCCCACTTAACTGAGTTTCTGCAAGGATCTTGTTCATCTCTCCATCCTCACTTAGGACTATTCCTGGTTGCTTATCAAATATTGTTTGAATTCATCCATATAACAATCAGCATTTCCAGTGTCAACAGTTCAAGATCTTGAAAATCCATGCCTTTCACTGGAGCACCTCACTAACACCAGCCATTCTATCTACTGGGTGGTAAAAAAAAAAAAGAAAAATAATCTCATTAATGCAATACCAAATCATAACATTCATTATGTAATATGTTCAAAACAATGTTCATTTATTTCTCAAAAGATAAATCTTTTTTCTAAATGATCTGTTTTGGATGTAATTCTTAGAGTTCCTTTTTCAGAATCCACCTAATTCAAGACATATTCCACCTGAGTATCAATAGAGGACTCTAAAGCACCTCCATCTCTTCTCCTCATGATAGAAAGATTATGTCTATGAGTAGAGCAGGCTACTAATTTGTATGGAAGACTGAACAACTAACTATTCTTCAAAGAAAAAATAATATGCATGTGTGTGTCTGTGTGTCTGTAACTGTGTCAGACTTTATGGGACCCATATCTGATCCCCTATTCAAAGTTCCCAAAAGCAGCATTTGACCATTCACCTACTAAAGAAGAACTGGTGAATCAGCAGATGAAGGAAACATCAAAAATTAGTGGATGCTGGAGGATGACTGATAAACTCTTCTAAAGTGGTAGTCAGTATTGTTTCTGAGAGGTGGACAGTTTCACAAAACTGTTCATTTATAGATTCACTCACCAAATTTCTTGAACACCTACTTTGTGTCAGACATTGTTTCTAGGAGGCAGAGGCTCTGGCTGGCTTCTAGGCTAGGGGAAGGCATTTACATTTGTGGCCTGCATACCGAAACCCTGATGTGATTTTAGATGTCCAGGATTCTTTATGTGTTAAATAGAGGCCAAGCTAACGTCAGCCTGTCTACAAGGAGATAACATACCATAACAAGTATGTGCTTGGCAATCACCTTCACTCAAGATTAGATGCAGGACACTTTGCTCAGAAGATGTACACACTATAATTAAAGTAAGAAAAAAAGGGATACAGTTCACTGAGGTTGACATAAAAACTCCATAAAAATCAAAGGGAGTGTTAAAAGTTGATTTTTATAATTTAATAAAACCATCAAGAAAAGCTTTCTGGAATTTGCCCTCAAGATTAATAGTAGAAACATGCCCCACTCTGGTAACAATGAAAATAATAATAACTTTTTTTGTCTTTCTTATTTCTATTACATATTTATTTTTATTATGTCTTTTTTATTTCTATTTGATACATAAAAAGTAACACGTGACATATTTGTAACTTGTGAATTAGAAAATAAACATCCATGAACCTACTACCAAATATAAGAACTACATTAGTTTCCTTGGGCTGTTGTAACAACGTACCACAAACTGGGTGGTCTCAACAACAGAAATTTATTCTCTCATCATCCTGGAGGCTAGAAGTCCAAAATCAAGGTGCTGGCAGCGTTGTTTCTTTCTGAGGCTCTGTGAGGGAGTATCTGTTCCATGTCCTCACCTGGCTTCCAGTGAGTTGCTGGCAATCTTTAGCATTCCTTGGCCTTCAGATGCATCACTCTAATCTCTGCCTTCATCTTCACATGCCAATTTCATTGTGTCTCTGTCTTCATATGGCCATCTTGTTGTAGGGGCCCCAGTCTCACTGGATTAACAGTTCATCCTATTCCAGTATGACCTGATCTTAATTAATTATATCTACAATGACCCTATTTCCAAATAAGGCCAGATTCTGAGATACTGGGGATGAGGACTTCAACATATCTTTTTTTGAGGAAGAAGCAATTCAAACCATAGCAAGGACTATGCTAGAACAATAATATTGCTACATCTGTATGTTTTGCCTCCATTCTGCTCCTCTGTATCCCTCCCCCAGAGATAATACAGATAACCACTATCCTGAAATGGATATTTGTTATCATTCTCTTGCATTTTGTAACAAGCAAATGAACCAATATGTTATTTCATTTTCCTTGTTTTGTAAACATAACCTTCTGTAACTTGCCTTTTGCATACCAGGTTTATAAGATTCATGCATATTGTTGTATGCAGTAGTTTATTCATTTACAAATTTCTATAATACCTCAGTGTTTGAATATCCAAATGTTTAAAATACTATTCTGTCAACAATCATTGGTGTTATTTCCAATTTTTGTTCTTAGGAAATACTCTACTATGAATGGTCTAATATTCGCAGGATATGAGAATGTTCAACTTTACAAGATAATGCCAAGATCTTGTAGCAAATCACACTCCTTCTAATTGTGCATACAGTTCCCCTTCAGTCACATTTATGATAATGCTTAAAATTGTCTAGCTTTTTCATTAGTATCAACTGGGTGGTTGTAAAATGATATTACTTTGTGAACCTAAATTATATTTCCCTTTGTCTTCATGTGTCTTCTTCTATGAATTTTAACAATGCAAATGTGGTTGTGTTCATATCCTTTGTCCAAATTTTTATTGGATTATCTTCTTATTGTTAATTCTTTGTATGTTCTAGATACTAATCCTCTCTCAGTTCTATGTTTTGCAAATATTTTTATGCATGTCACAGCTGGTCTTTTCATTTTCTTTATGCTATCATTTTTTACAAACAATTCTTAATTTTAATGTGATCCAATTTAAATATTTTACATCTCAACTTTTGTGTTATATTTTAGCATTTCTTGGGTGTCATCTTAAAAGTTCTCCCAGAACCTGGATTATAAAGATATTCAACTATATATTTTTAAACATATTTTTGCCTTCCACATTTAAGTCTTTACTCCTTCAGTTAACAATTTTCAACTATTATGTGTGGTAGGAATAAAGGGTTTTTCTCCTATTTTGGGGTGACCAATTTCTGTAGTACCATTATTTTATAATCCCTCTATTACGGGTTGAATTGTCCCCCTGCAAAATTCATATGTTGAAGTCCTAACCCTCATACCTCAGAATGTGACCTTATTTGGAGAGAAGATCTTTACAGAGATAATCAAGTTAAAATGAGGTCATCAGAGTGGGTCCTAATCCACTATGGCCAGTGTCCCTGTAAACAAAGGTAAGTTTGGAGACAGACACACATGTAGGGAGAACACAGTGTGAACCTGGAGATGCCTGCTACAAGCCAAAGAAAGGCCTGGAACAGAGTCTCCCTTCATAGCCCTCAAAATGAACCAACCCTGCCGATACCTTCTAGCCTCCAGAATTGTGAGAAAATAAACTTTTGTTTTTTAATTAACCCAGTTTGCGGCATTTTGTATCGCAGCCATAGCAAATTTTTACACACATACCCCTTTACCACTGACCTGGAATATACACCTCTCATATATCAAGTTTTCAGATTGCATAGGAAAACTACTATTTGTTGACTGCCTACCATATACTAAAAACTATGTGTGCATTTTAATCATGTTATATTTAATCTGCTAAACAAATATAGAAGTCCAAGGGGCCATCACCTCTTCACTTGAATTCTGGCAACAACCTACTCCTAATTACCTCCAGTCCTGTTTGACCCCAATCTATCGCCCCATGCAGCCAGACTTATCTGAGGAGTATAACCAGACTGGCCAAGGTCATATACAAGGTCCTCCACTTATAACTGTTCCATAACCTTAGAAAATTATCTAATTATTTTATGTCTTAGTTTCCTCATTTTAACAATGCAAGGAAACAATAAAACCT